CTTGATATTTTTTTCATAAGTTTATAAGTATGAGCAGTAAAATTTCCAAGTGTTTCAAGTTTGATTTTCAATTTCTTGTTTCAATATGCGAAAATTATTTTTTTTTATCAAGAAAGCGATCAAGCTATGACTTTTTTAAACATTTCAAAATTTGTCATACATTGGATCGTGCAGTGAAAAGTTAGCTTTTTTAAGCAAGCTTTTGAGACCGAGCAAATTGTTTTGAATAAATTCAAATTTATTGTCATTGCTTGTTTCTTTTTTTTAAAAGTTTTTTCAAACAAGCGATTAAATGATGACCATTATAGTGGAATATAGGATTTTTACGGGCTAGCAACTTGTTCAACAAAATCACTTGAACCATCAAACTTAATTCACTTCCACGGCATTCACGTGCTGTCATGCTCAAAATCTTGGAAATTTTGATTAAATTACCGGTCTAATGCGACTACTGACTGTTCTTTCAGGAAGTTATATCAGAACTCTTGATATTGATAATCAAGTCAATTTTCTTGGCTTCTCCGCCAAACCTGGCCCAGAAGTAATAACTTCGCCTGAGTCGGCAAAAGTCTTTGGTTCGATACCAGGCAGGTCTGTTTTTTTTTCCAAGTCAAAATATTCCGTTTCAAAGAAATTTTCTGCCTAACGTTTGTCTGATTATGCTTGTCAGCTTACTTTGCGCATCAGGGATTTTTCTTGTTATACAAAATATTTAAATCATTATATACGTAAACATTAGATATTCAGAACTTTTAAAAGTTTTTAAATTAAAAAAAAAATGCTCTGCGGGAGTCTCACTAACTTTTGTGACTTAATTTCCGCTCAACTAATGTGTCTGAATGATTTTAAACATCGTAACACTTGTTGATTGAGTTTTTAAGAACTGGTTAAGAATTGAGGTTTCATAGCTTGGTTTTTTGGCGATAACTTAATATTTTTTTCATAAGTTTATAAGTATGAGCAGTAAAATTTCCAAGTGTTTCAAGTTTGTTTTTCAATTTCTTGTTTCCATATGCCTCAAGAAAGCGATCGAGCTATGATTTTTTAAAACATTTCAAAGTTTGTCTTAGATTGGATCGTGCAGCGAAAAGTTAGATTTTTTTCAAGCAAGCTTTTGTGACCGAGCAAAATGTTTTGAACAAATTCAAATTTATTGTCATTGCTTGTTTCTTTTTTTTAAAAGTTTTTTCAAACAAGCGATTAAATGATGACCATTATAGTGGAATATAGGATTTTTACGGGCTAGCAACTTGTTCAACAAAATCACTTGAACCATCAAACTTAATTCACTTCCACGGCATTCACGTGCTGTCATGCTCAAATTCTTGGAAATTTTGATTAAATTACCGGTCTAATGCGACTACTGACTGTTCTTTCAGGAAGTTATATCAGAACTCTTGATATTGATAATCAAGTCAATTTTCTTGGCTTCTCCGCCAAACCTGGCCCAGAAGTAATAACTTCGCCTGAGTCGGCAAAAGTCTTTGGTTCGATACCAGGCAGGTCTGTTTTTTTTTTCCAAGTCAAAATATTCCGTTTCAAAGAAATTTTCTGCCTAACGTTTGTCTGATTATGCTTGTCAGCTTACTTTGCGCATCAGGGATTTTTCTTGTTATACAAAATATTTAAATCATTATATACGTAAACATTAGATATTCAGAACTTTTAAAAGTTTTTAAATTAAAAAAAAAAATGCTCTGCGGGAGTCTCACTAACTTTTGTGACTTAATTTCCGCTCAACTAATGTGTCTGAATGATTTTAAACATCGTAACACTTGTTGATTGAGTTTTTAAGAACTGGTTAAGAATTGAGGTTTCATAGCTTGGTTTTTTGGCGATAACTTAATATTTTTTTCATAAGTTTATAAGTATGAGCAGTAAAATTTCCAAGTGTTTCAAGTTTGTTTTTCAATTTCTTGTTTCCATATGCCTCAAGAAAGCGATCGAGCTATGATTTTTTAAAACATTTCAAAGTTTGTCTTAGATTGGATCGTGCAGCGAAAAGTTAGATTTTTTTCAAGCAAGCTTTTGTGACCGAGCAAAATGTTTTGAACAAATTCAAGTTTATTGTCATTGCTTGTTTCTATTTTTTAAAATTTTTTTCAAACAAGCGATTAAATGATGACACTTTAAAGTTTTGAAAGCTGTTTCATGATGCGTCTTGTTTCACGAAACTTTTTTTAAAGCAAGCTATAAATAATTTGGATTATTTCAAGTTGTTATTATAGCTTGACTACTTTGCGTTTTTTATAATCAGCGACTGAGCGAAGAAGTTTTTGAATATTTCAAATTGTTTCACAGCGTAAAAGTTTTTCGAGGAAGCTGATTAGGAAAAGCCTTTTGATGAGTTTTGAAATGTTTCCATAGCTTGAACTTGTTGGGGATTATTGAAGTTTTTTTCAAGCCAAGTTATGTGTCTGAGCTGTAAAACTGTAAAGTATTTCAAGTTTTTCCCTTTTGCGAATCAGTTAGCGAAAAGCTTAGGTTTTTCGAATCAGGCGTTTGAACAAAAATTGAATTATTTCAATTTGTTCTTATAGCTCGAAACTAATTGACAAAAGCGAGTTTTTTCGTGCAAGCGATTCAGCAATGAATCTTTCAAGTATATCAAGTTTATTTTCACACCGTTAATCGTAAAAAGTCGGTTAAAAGCTTAAGTTGAGCCTAAAAACTTGTTTTAAATTTCTTCATAGCGTATATCGGTCCTTAAAAAATCTGAATTTCGGTTTCGCTAGTTTTAAAATAGAAAATTTTCAAGAAAAAAACTTGACAGGTGCTGTCCAGCTCTGAAAATGAAAGTTCTATATCATTCCTAATTGAAATTTTTTTTTACTTTTTTTAGACTTTTAGCTGAAAGATCGCTCGTCAGAATTACACATTATGACAGCTGAAACATGGCATTCATTTTACAATACATAAGACTTGGAGGAAAAAAAATAAAACACACAAAAGTACGAAAAAGCGATAAAATTTAAGAACCAATTCAATAATGACAATGATCCATTTAGCAATGTAAGTTCAAATCTGGAAATGGAAATAATTCTGACATTTTAAAACAAATTGTCCAGACATTTGGCCTTTTGACATAATGAAGCTCTGATCAAATATGCAATTTATTCAAATTTTCCGGCAAATCAAACGCAAAACTTTTTTGCCGGGCGATTTTCAAGATCTCTTTCTCTATTATCTTAGAGAGTTTTTTCGCAACTTGCGCTCTTGACATTCAAATCTGTTCATCGCACATTGAATTAAAATAACAAATTTAACTCAAATTTTAATCAAAATCTTGCAGTACTTTTAATGGATAGATACGTTTTCTTTCAATCAAGCTTCACTTTTAATTGTCCTGCACAGGATGGGTTTCGATCACTATTTAAACAAAACTGCTCCTATCAGGACGAAGCCCGACTGCTTTTTAAGGTCTATGGAGCAGTATTAACATGAAAAAGTAAATAAATTAAATTAAAACGAAAAAACAATTGTTTTTAAATTTGAGGTTTTTTGCTGAATTCATCCCCGCACACGCCATATAAAGAAGATGAAAGTGATACATTTGGCTCCTAGTCATAAATCAATTATGGGAAATAAGCTTCCTTCAACCAATTTGGACATTAATGCTTTTTGAAAGATATAAAAAATTGCGTCAAAACTGGCCAGTTAAAAATTCGAATTTTGTCTGAAGAAAAAAAACCATCCCGAGCACGAAATTTCCGTGACTTTCGTTACGAAAGTCGGAACAAAAATCAATCGCTCTGGTTCAGTAGTTTGGCAGGAGAAGAATAACCAGCAAATCGACTCGCAATCACATACAAACGCAGGCTCGCGCCTACGCACACTTAAGAGATCTATCATATGCATAGCTAAAATTATCTGTGTCGAGACAAGTTTCACAATTTTGGTTTGTAGACAAATTTGAAACCTTGGCCGGTCAACGTGGTTTCAAATCGGTCTGCCAACTGTTACCCAGTTCAAGTTTGACCAGGCAAATGTCCAAACTACAATTTTGTCATAAAGTAATTCTATAGTAGCGTGAATATTCAACATGTGACACATTTTTTTAAGAATCTACACTTGAGAATCAATATACTTTCGAAAACAACCACAAAATTATTCGAAAAAAACAGTATGAGTTGTGGCTGTTTTGAGTTTGCATGCACATTAAAGTTTGGAGTTCAGCCTTTGAAGACTTAGAGCAGAATGTTTTCTAGTCTCTATTTGAATTAGTTGCAAAGCTTCTGTAAAGTTTCTACTCAGCCCCATGTTGATTTTATTTGGATCCATTTTGCTTCCAGAGACTAGTTGTCCCAGACTTGTTTCCCAAATTATAATATATCATGCATGCAATTGTTCAGAGACCTTTCTGCAAAGTGTTCTGGTATAGGTATAATTTGAAAAGAAAGTTGCATAGTTCTTATCTGGAAATCCACCTAAATTTATCCAAACAATATGCTTAACTTCTACAACATACAAGCACGGTTATGTTTCTAAGAAAGCTACAAATATAAATAACTGAAATCTGAATGAGCGAGAAATGGCTTCTTAAAGGCTTATAATTGAATTTTTTAAAATCAAAATGTGGAGTAAAATCGAAGAAATTTTACAGAAAACTTCACAAGTGAACGATCTGTACTTGCATTTCAAACAGCAAATTTCTGCGATTCATGGTTACTATAAACAAATCTTATCAGGTTGATAGCTCCAAAAAGTTGAGCTTAAGTTGGTAGGATTATAACACAGTTTAGGTTCTGGCAGAAACGAATTGGGACTCTGTAATGTTGGGAACCGAATTTCTCAACCCGATTCATTCCTTTTGCCTTGAAGTTATACGCTGTTGATAGCAGCCAAAATAGCGCACAATTCAAGAAAAATAAGCGTCCATAGTATGCCATTTTTAGAAAATAATAACAAAGTTCCACGTGATTACAAAACAGTCTTGGAAATGTGTGGGTTTGGCACATGCGCTTGAAGCGCTGGCCATGTTTAAAGTTCTAAATTCATAAGTAAAGGGTTGTTTGGTTTCAGCTTTCACAGAATTTCAGTGTTTCAATTCAATTCACAGTTGGATTAGATTTCACTTGATTTGGTTGGAGCAGTTCTGGTAAGTAAATATCTTTTCTTAAATCGTGTCTCTGCGCAACAAGGGGGTTATCGGAACGCAAAGTGGCTCGACCCCGACGACCCGACCTTAACGAACCCGAACTTTAATTTCAAAAATAATAATAGAAATTGGGCATGGTGGCTTAATAATAATAAATAAAAACGCCCAGAATATCGCTGAAGTATATTACCAGTTACAAATTTGAACTTTAAAAAATTTTCTTTGATCTTGCCAATTTACTTCGCAGAAGAAAACACGTTTTTACTTTTTTGCTAATGGAAGTTTCCTCTTTAGAATGGCATAATAAAAACACTTTTCTAATTACAAATAGCAGTTTTAAATGTCACAAGTATTATTATCAAAATAGGCACAAAAGAAAAAGGCAAAAGTCTGCATCAAAATGAAACGATTGCTTCAACGAGATTCGACAGAAAACGACTTCAGAGAATTACGAAATCTGTCACCGAACGCGTTTCTCAGTCATGCGCCGACGAACTCCGAGGCTGCTCGGATAATAACCGAACATGCGACGAATGGCGTAAACAGTTCGAAAAAACATGGCAAAAGCACCAATCAATCTAGGAAGCAAGACGACAAAAATTACCCGTCAGGAATAGGGAGCTCAAATTTCTACTCAAGGACACTGTCGACTCAAGCAATTCAATCGAACCCCAATTCGTCGCAGAAAAAACAACAAAATAATAAAGGCGGTGCAAAAAAGGTCAGAATCGTTCAAAATTCTCAAAATTCAGGAGCATCTTCGTCGCAAAGCTCAATCGCTCAAGTTGTTCACGCTGTTAGCAACCAAGCGGTTATTAATAACTCGCTACCAAGCTTAAGTGATTTGGCATCAATAGATAATACTCTAGTAAACAATCGATTGAGGCCCGCAACTTTGAATCCCGACCCGCCGAGTGGGAACTTCGGTTATATGAATGATAATTCGAATAACGAAGACTGCACAATGAACATGTATCCTTCAGATTTAGATGCCACGTTTTACGAGGTAATGGATTATGCAACGGGTTTTAACGCAACGCATGCAGTTGCGACCTCTAGCGGTGAAAACTTGCAGCACTATTCGGCGGTTTCTAATTACGAAAACTTGGAAATGTGTAGTGGACAAAATGGAGAAGTTTTACATAACGGAGAAATTTTACAAACGGATGAAAACGGTTATGTTATTTCGGGTCACAATTTTGTTACTTATGCGAACCACGGGCCTTCGTGTGACGATTGCGGGAAACCTTGTCAGTGTTCGGAAGAAGCGCACGCTTCGGGCTACGGGTGCTTCTCGTCGGCTGGTACACCATCTAACTTCGTCTCGTCATTCGCCGACACGACATCAAACTCAGCTTCTGATTCGGAAAACACGAGGCTGGAAATAGCTCTCGGATCTGTGGACTCACCAGGTAAGCAGGACAGGATCGATAATAAACATACTATATACTACTATCCTGCTTACGGGGGGTTGTTACGCCTCCCCTCAGGGATTCGACCCCCTCACCAACCAAAGCGTCACCTCTTTCGTATTTTTTATGACATGCATTTTAGGCCACCCAACCCTAAAGTTTTAGGCCACCCAAGGCGTCTTCGGTGCCAATGTATACTTATTTTGAAGGGGAGTGCGCGCCAAAAAAAACGCTGTTTTTCAAAATTTTCCAAAAAGTGCCCAAAAACGGCATTTTTGAAATGTTTTTTTTTCTTCAAAAAATTGTCTGTTGCGCAAAATTCAAAATGTTTGGTCAAAATATGGTCTTTATAGTTTACTGGGAGCGCTCGGAAAAAATCAATTTGGTCGCCTAAAGAAAGGTTGACAAAATTTTTGAAAAGTTATTGATAATGCGCACCACCCTCGAAAAAATTGTAGATCGGTCCCTGAAGACACGTTAAAAAGTATATGTATATACTATATCCTACTAAGTCACGGTCTTTTTTTGCACTTCTGCAATATCATCATTAAAAAAGTCAAAATTAAAATTCGATATAATTTTGAAAAAATCTTAGTTTTTGAATTATTTTACTAATTTTACCTCAACTTTGTTGCGCTCACCTTGGTTGTTATCCTAACAAAAACCATAATATGATAAAAAGTTATTAAATTTAGATTGTATTTTAATATTTGTAATTTAATGTTGATTGTAATTCCTGGGATTGAGTAGATAAGACTTTCTCAATGTTTCTTTAGATTTGAGTTCAGAGATTCATCTGAATTAGACGAGCCAAGTAGCTCTTATGACTAGGACCATAGATGTGTGCTTTTAATAATTTTTGGAGATATGATTGTTGTGATACGTACATTCAAATTAAGATCTTGGATCGTGTTTTGGAACCCTAATATGTATCCAGATATGTGGTTTACTTTCAAGATTTAACCTCATAAGCAAACTTCAATAGCAACGAACTTTTTTCTGAATCAAGATATTTTCTCATACTAGTGTTGCAAAACAGGTATCCAATCTTTTACCGGATCTTCATGCATGTAGCATTTAAGTTTCAATTAGTTAATTGCCCAATAGATCATTTTTTGTTGAATTATAGGAAACGACGATTCATATGGTCGAGGAGAGGGGGATGGAGAGGGAAAGAGTCAGCCTCTGATCATCAACGGCAGAATAGTGGAGTGTGTAGTGTGTGGTGATAAGAGTAGTGGCAAGCACTACGGACAGTTCACATGCGAAGGTGAGAGAGTTAATAATAATTACGAAGGTGAGAGAGTTAACGGGTACTTTATTACTCTATTACAATGGTCTGGGGTTCGAGTCCCGGCGGGAGCTTCTTTTTCGGTATGTTTGCAATCGATTTTTTTCCCGAAAACAAAGGTAATTAGATCAATAATAGGGCTCCTAAATTGTTTTTTGATTGCTGTATTCATAGCTCATCTTATTATGCTTGCTGGTCTATTTACTCTTCTGTAGGCCGAAATACCCTTTGAAAACATCTTCACGCATTTGTAATTTTATTTTTTTACACTTGTTACACTTGTCTTTATTGTAAACGAAAACTAAACCTATTTTTTACATGCCTTTTGATTAAAGCTTATCAACTGCCAGGTTCTTTCCGACTTAGCGTGGAGGTAACGCTCTCGCCTTTGCACTCTATGGTCAGGGTTTGAGTCCCTGCCGGAGCTTGTTTTTTTTTCAGTATGTTGGCAATCGAATTTTTCGGTAAAAACTGAATTGTCGGACTATGGTTCGTTGGCTTCTGTTTTGTCGCCTTAGTTGCCACACCAATGATTTGTTTTTTCGAGCGTGAAGCAATTTTCATTGCAGTTTCAAGTGTCGCTGATGTAAACTCCTGTAAATTGTTATTTTACTTACCAATTTGACTGGTATATTTTCCGTCTTTTTTTTCACGTAGATTTTTTTTCGGCCAAAATGATTTCGGCTCGTGTTGTCGGCTTAGGAGTTTTTGTATCGGTTTAAGGGTACAAAATGATTTATTTTGTTATAAGTTTAAATAAATCCGGACGATTGTTGTATAGAAGTTTCAAATTCAAACAATTTCATCGCTCTAAGTTTTTTCTATGAAAATAATTTACTTTGTTTATTTTTTGTTTTGTCGGTTTAGAGTGACATTCCTTTGCTGAACTATGAACTTTCACGCCTTGATTTCACATCTTGTTATCTAAACTTTTGATTTCTGTATACATTTGTAAAGATAACAAAAATTTAATTAAATTTAACTTTCGAAATGGCGTTTTGAACTGAAAGAATTCAAAGCTATCAGTTTTTTTTAATCGTAGTGAATGCTCGGAAACCACTAAAAGATTGTTAAATTCAAGTGATTGTTTTGTGATTCTCGTCGGTCAGTTTTTCTGAATTTGAATTTTTCGTATTTCCAAAAGAAAATTGAGGATACTTTTTATGTTTTTTTTTTCGATTTAGATGCTTTCATACCACTTTCTATTTGGTAGCCTGCAATGCTACGCTTCCGTTGTTTTTCGCTGTGGTAACATATGCAATTTTTATCTGAAAACTTGCATATGTTACCACAATTTGTATCTTAAACAGGTTATTTTATGATTCATGCGAGAGTTGTCATTGATCACTGATAAGGTTGGTTTTTCAAACGAGAATCGAGACTCGAGTTAAATATTTTGATCGGTATGGTTTCCACAAACATCATTATTCAAAATTGGCAAAACTCATTGAGCGAAAGCCAACATAACTTACCTTTTTTTTGTTTGCAAACCGTTTTTTTTTTCTCGTAGAAGTCAACAACAAATCACGATTTTAGTAAATCAGTTTTGTTATGATGTTGTTTGGTTCATATTAAAAAGTTTTTTTTTCTTAGGATGCAAGAGTTTCTTCAAGAGGTCTGTTCGGCGTGGTCTGAGTTATGCTTGCAGGAGCAACGGATTATGTCCAGTGGACCAGCAGAACAGGAACCAGTGCCAGGGCTGCCGACTGGCAAAGTGCATGCAAGTGGGCATGAGGAAGGAAGGTCCGTGCACAAAGTTCAATTGAACGACCGAAATTTTAACCGATAAAGCTAACTGGTTTTATGCCAAAAAAAAATCAACGAATCAGCTCCCGTTGGAAAATTTTTTTTTTAGGGAGCTGTAGTTTTGTTTTCCTAGAAGCAGCACGCGGAAAACCTATCTAAAATGTGATTTTTACCATGATTAAAATTGCAATACAAGCTTTTGTTCGAGCTACAGATTTTAATTGATAGTTTTTTTCTCGTTTTAGCCGTGCAACGCGGACGCATTTTGGCATCGCCCAGTCCACGCCCTCTTCAATTGACGTCCTCAAACTACCAGGATCCGAACTCACCGCACCGATACCACCCCCAGAACCAGATAAACCAGCATGTGCCATCATCGACATCATCTTCGCAACACCTCGCGATGTTCAATCGGGGATCCAACATGTCCAGGTCGATGTCATCGTCAGACCATAATAGTTTAAACAGTCCATACTATGGGCATCAAAACGGGGCCATGAATGGTTCTCCGATTCGAAATGAGCGCCAGGCTTATCATCGGCAAGAAATGGACCACCAAAGGCGCTTGGAGTGCAATAGCCCCCTGGAAAGTGATTCGGGGTTGTCGAATGGGAGAAGTTTGAACCCTGGTCTGGTGTATGGAAATTATTCAGACTTGGTCTCAATGTTGCTTAAAGCTGAACCACCAACAGGTTTTTAATTTGCCACTTATAAAAATACAGCTCAGATAAATGCATGCTGTACTAGTTAAATTTTTTGCAAATATTTTACACTGCTTATCGAATTTATATTGCTAATAGCTTAACTCAATTTTTCTTTCAGCTTGCACGAGGTTCAATCAATCGTGCTCACCATCTGGGCTAACATCACCTTCAAAATCAGGCCAGGGCCAACTTTCTAAAACGCCAATCCAAAGTAACCACGGGGGGTCTTCTGTCATCAGGGGTGGGGACGAGTGTGGACGTGGCCACTCAGTTGAGACTGTCTGCGAGATGGCTGCTCGGTTGCTCTTTTGTGCGGTCCAATGGGCGAGCAGCATTCCCTACTTCCCACAGCTTCCATTGAACGACCAAGTTGCACTGCTAAGGTCAGTTACAAATTAAGTTCTGTAATTTCGCACCAATTAACTTCATTTTGCACATATCAAGTCCAGTCAGAAATGCTGAATTAAGCTTCATTTTTCCAACTTTTGCATTTTTCGCCAATAATTGCCATTTTTTTTAAATCCAGCTAACCGGAATAAAAACTTAGACGCTCGTGTGTACTGCTACATCTGCAAGCGTTCACAAAATGTTGTCAAATTGCTCCTATCTATCAAACATTTAACTTTTTGATTTGAAATATTTCAGGTTAACTTGGAGCGAAATGTTTGTTTTGAACGCGGCACAATGCTACCTTCCTCTAATTAGTTTATCACAAAACAACAACAACATTTCGTCAACTTCATCAAACCAAACAAGTATTCCGAACAAGAGAACCAACAACATCAGCAACTCATCGAGTAATGGAACCTCTAAACATACCAATGGAACCACTTCTCAGAACAACACTAAGCAGGACTCTCACTCCTCATTGGCTGAGAAAAAGGAGCTGTTGTCCAATCAGATTCGACTTCTAGAGGAACAGGTGGAGAAACTACAGAATTTGAATGTGGATGATGCAGAGTACAGTTGTCTCAAATGTATTGTGCTCTTCACACCTGGTGAGTGTTCGGAACTGCCTTGAAAGAAGCGGCTCTGAGGTGGTTAGGGTCTCGGCTTCTCAGTCGAAAGGCCTTAGGTTAGAGTCTTTGATCCATCCCACGCTAACCAAGTTCCTACCCAAAGCCGATCATCGCAATGGCTTTCGCCCGTTGTATTTTTAAAAATTGCCCCCGGTCCTTCTCAATGAAAGACCAGCCATCATGTTCAGCATGACCGTTGCATTCAACCAACACAGCTTTTTCAACTCTTGAATTTTTATCAGCGACGGTTTTAACTAACAAAGGCCTCCAAATAGGACATCGATATGGAAATCCATTGTACCCTCCTGGTTCTCCTTCATGGTACTGGCGTAGCGGGAAGCCTAATTAAGTCGTTGTCAAATTTTCTAAGTGCGCCTCAATCAAAACTATGTTCAGATACGCCTTGTGAAAATCTAGGATTTTCTGTACAAGCGTCCCTAAGGGCTCAATTTTAACATCAGCCCTTTTAACACATGCGAGCTTTATTGAACGTAGTGTAATGGTACGACTATTCTGTTTTTCTAACCTTAGTCGCAAATATGGGACACTTTTGCGGTATTTGGTAACATGTGCTTTGACACTCGATAGGTAATATCTTAACACAATTGACGCATTTTGATTCATCAAATGAACTGAAAAAAAGCTTCTGGTTCCAAACAGCAGTGCATTGAAAAATATCATTTGAGAAATTTTCATGCTCAATATATTTAGCATTTTTTTGAATACATAATTTATGCAATCGGGTGCTAGATTTTTTTCCCGTAAATAACTTTAGGCACGAGTGGTCAAGTAGAAATGGTAAACTTCAGCCATGTTCAGTTTCAGTCATGCTCAATTTCTTGAATATTCAAATAAAACTAACTTCTTTCATGCAGTAAATAGGTGTAGTCCGTTTCCGGTATTAGTTTATTTTCAAATAAATCTCTTAAAAATATTGATTTTTTTTCGGACTAGTGGTTTTCGGCCTAGTTTCCATCGGTTCCTTTCCCCTTGTTTTAAAATGAAATTCACTTTTTATTTGGTACTATTTTTTGCTTTTTTTTGTTACAAATGGATTTCATTTTGATTTTGAATTTTTTGAACTCCTGTTGAAAATTTGTAACTTGTCTCTTTACCAAGTCTGATTTTAAATACTTTTATTTTTTATATAGTTTTTTTTTCAATTAAACGGTTTCAGCGTATTGTTTGTGGCATAAAGAACTTAAATTGGGTTTTTTGGACAAAAATTCCTGTTCGACAAAATTAGATATTATTACACTTGCGAGTGTTGTGAAATCGGGAACAAGACTTTCCAGGAAACACATTTTCTTACACGTTTTAATTTTCTTCAACTTGCTTTTTTATTGAACGTTTACAACCCTCTGGCTCCTGGCCACTTGGCCTAGAGGTAAAGTGGCCGCTTTTGCACCCTAAGGTCTGGGGTTCCACTCTCGGCCGACCTTGTGTTTTTCAATATATTTGCATTTGAAAAATTTTTTTTGTTAAAACTGAATTGTCGGTCTTCCGCTATTCTGCTAAAAATTGTTTTCGGCTTAAGTACCACATCAACAATGCAAGTGCCAGCGCAAGAGTTGTTTTTTGTAGATTCAGGAAGGTGGACGTGAAACTTCTCATGTTTTTTCAAAATCATTTTGTTTATCGGCTCAACAGGTGTCTGCTCAAAGATTGCGGCTGAGTTGCAATATCACTTATTATTCTTTTCTTGTGCTGTAGGCAAATTCTTTTGGAGTTGAAAGTGCAAGTGTCTCAGGTGGCACTTAAAACAGTGAAGATTTTTTATGAAATCATGTTTGTTCTGCTTAAATTGTGTCTGCTCAAAGATTGCCGGCTTTGTCCATATTGTGGCTTCATTCTTTTCAAATTATTACATGCAAAAGTAGTATCTAGGGCTTTCGTTTATTATACAAGTTTTACATTTATTTCAATTTATTTCTTGTGCCCATTTTGCTGCATAGCATTGGCAATTTTTTAGCATATGCAGCTGCTTAATTAGCATATGCAGCTGCACTAATTTCGTAGCTTTTGCAGCTGCTAGTGTTAATAAATTGTCTGGAGCTCGTGGCACAGATGCGAGGACGAGGACTGTAAATATTTTACTCGTAATAATTGTTTCAAAAGATCATGTCTGCCACAGCAAAATGTTTTCTTTCAAAGGAACATTTTTACCTTTTCTTCATTTCATTCTATAGTGCTGCTTTTTGTAGTATTTTCGCTAGTGTCTGCGAACCGCAGCTTCGCCTCTGTGCATGTTCTTATGTCCATAACCCACCCCTAAACCCCCAATGGGGTGTAAAACTGCTACCGCACGCGGACGATTTTCACCCTTTTGTCCACTCCAGCAACAATTTTACGGCCTCATCAATCATATTCAAATTTAAAACCAAGATACAGAAGTTTTTTTTACCTCAATGTCTCTTGCTTTTTACAATTGTCAAGCTTTTTTCCTCTTTTAACACAACTTTAACGCCGATCCGACAGTGGAAAGAATAATAACGCAAGTCTGCTCCCCGAGAAAGTTACCAAGTTACTAGGTGTCGTCTTCGATCCATCCCTAAACGTTGCTTAGTATTGCTAGTGCGCATCTAAAAGAAACGCGCGAATGATATTGACCCTGAAGGCTCTATCCCAATAATTTTGGAGCCAGTCCAAACTTTACTTAGTCAATCCCAGCCCTGCCTGGTCCCACGCTCCCAGTAAAAAATCTTTGAACAAGCTGCAAATAGATTATTGTGCCTGCTTTCTTCGTTTTTACAGAAAACAAAAAGATGAGCACAATAGAAAATTTGCATTTGGATTGCTTTACCTTTTAATTTGGAACTCCGCTATATACTGTTGTCGCAGTTTGTCATCAAATTTTCCGTTTCACCGATACTGCTACTATAAAATCATCATTATCCTAAACACCTTGGGAATATTCGCCCTTCCCTGCTTGACTTATTTGTCCCCGAAAAAAATCATTACCAAATCCAAAACTAGTACTTTCACGCCTTCTAACATTTTAATGAACAAAAATGTTTTTTGTTTTTGTTAACAGCTATATTTTGCTTTAAAGCAGTCAAATGCATATAGTGTTAGCGAGGCCATATCAGAAGCACCACCCCTAAAGTTTTTGCCCCCAGACCACTTGTTTTGTACCCGACCAAAGAGTCCTTCCCTCATTCCACTAAAAGAAACCTACCTCAGTTGAGATCTGGGAACAGCCCACTTCTCAATTGGTACCTGAATAGTATTGACTCCAACGTCCTCTCAAAGTGCCCCCACTTTCCTCTTCCCATCTCACTCTTCCCATTTCCATTGTTCCCATTCCCAGAACACCACTTTTTCAACCCCACTAGACTTCTGGCTTCTTCCCACCGAAGATGCGACATTTCTTGGGCTTAGTTTGAGCTTGTTGGATGCATCCATTGGGGGAATTAATTAACAATAACAAAAGTCGATGGTTTGAACCTCACTATGATCCGTGATCGTTGCTTGAATGTAAGGCAGCATTGTCCAGAATAAAATTGTTTTTCTCTGGCATGTATTTCCTAGCCAGAGGCACAATAGTGCTTCTACGTAAAAAATTGAAAAACGCTTGTATGATGCCTTCTGCAGAAACTGTCTGATTATTACCTAACAAAAACGCATTAGCACGACACGCGAAGGAACCTCAAGACTCTTTCGATGAATTTAAAATCTTAGCAGCAGTTAGTTCGAAAGCTGTTTCAAAAGTTTGAAAAGGGCTTAGTAAATATTATTTTAAGCTAATTTTAAACGAATGCCTTAAAAGATTGCCTTAAAAGAAGTGCCTCTTGAATCTGAATAACAAAGTATTCGATTGTTGCGTTTTTTTTTCTCTAGACCTTGGAGCTGTTTATTTGTTTCTTTCTTGGATTCTAATCACTTCTAATTACCCTTGCGATAAGCAAGGGCATGCTCAAGGGTACTACAGTTTTTTCCATTAATCAACTTCGTTCACAGGACTCATTTCATGAAATAATTCATCTCCTGGTTTCTCTGCCGGAAATACTACAACAGACATTGTTTAAACATGCTAGCATTATCAATGCCCGTTCTATTCGAAAATTGCTTTTTTTTGCAGTTTATTAGGTTTCGACTCTTATGTTTTTTGGCTTATTGGCCTTATTTCGCGCCGTTTTATGAGCAAAAAAAAAACGTTTTTGTGTGCATATGCGTGTATTCATAACTTAAACAGCTGTAGCAACTTTTTTTTAGTTTATAGGTCTTTTTAAAACAGTTCTCGACTTGAAGGGTTGCTGCTCAGGTATTTTTCCACTTGGCAAGTTTTCTTCTACTGCTACTTTTACCTTTTATTGTCTTGGTCTGTTTTGTTTTCTGAAAACTAGTATAATTTATTTTGATAGATCTGTTTTTGCGACATTTTTAAACTTATTCAATTTAGCAGCTTTTTTTGATTTGTATTGCAAGTGGTGCGAAGCTCAGCTTCTGCCCTGTGCTGATCGTCCTTTCAAAACTCTCTGTATTTCTATAATTATGATTTGATTTCTCGTTATGTAGTTGTTGTACTGTATAACAGAAAAAGTCCTTCAAAAACACTTGTTTTTTTTTCAGACGCAGCTGAGCTGAGCGACGACAGTCACATTGAATCAATCCAAGAGAAAGCGACTCTAGCGTTGGAAGAGTACATCAGTCTAACCTACCCGGACCAGCAGGGCCGAATGGGTAAACTGCTCCTTCGTCTACCCGCCCTTCGAAGTATCGGAGCGCCTGTAGTTGAACATATGTATTTCGAACGACTTGTGGGCAAAACTGCAATTGATACGTTGATTAAAGATATGTTACTGTCGGGTACGAACTATAACTGGGGACCATAACAACCTTTAAAAAGCTTTTTTTTTCTGCCAATTATTTTTCTAATTTCGCCATCATTCGCATCTTTACGATTGCTTTTTTTTTCTGTCGGGTACGAACTATAACTGGGGACCATAACAACCTTTAAAAAGCTTTTTTTTTCTGCCAATTATTTTTCTAATTTCGCCATCATTCGCATCTTTACGATTGAACTCCAAGAACTAGCAAGGATGAGCACACGTTTCGGAGACATGCTTGATATACCATTCATTTAGTTATATATATATAATGAGTTATGACTTTTGACCTGTACTCATAGAGTAATTTCAGATACGGTACACCGTCTGTTCGTCTAGCTATCTTATTTTTGGCCGGATAGATTCGTGCAACTTCTTAGTCTAATACCAATCTTATTCTTACTCTAATATCTCCTAGTCTCAATAGATCTAGTGTATACTGGTTTTTGCGAGTTACTTCTTTGAGTTTGTCCAGATGGAGAACAACTATTCAAAGATTTATTCAAATTATTCTGGTGCTGAAACTACAAGTAGTTTCAGCACTTACAAATAAGTGTCAATGTTAGAGATGGAATATGATTGGTTAGTTAGTAATATTTTATAGTGGTAGTGTTATCAATAATATAATTGGTTTATAAATACTAGTTTAGAATTGCTTCCACCCATCCGGGGCTTAGAGAGTTTTTAGTTTTTAATTGTTTATTGTAGTGAAGGACGGGTGATGTAGTTTACTTTAAAAGTTGTGAGCAGTGACTTCTTGAAGAGGGGAGAAATGTAGTTGTTTGTGTAGATGGAAGAAGACTGTGTTGTTCGTGTTTCAAGATGGGTCTCGTTGATCGTGGGTAGTCTTGTGTGATTGTCTCAAGACTTCTGATCGATGCAATGATGTATCGATTTCATTGAGTTTAGAGCGAGACTACGTGCAGGGTGAAGTTTGACTTTTCCGTGTGAAGTGCCAAGTGACTAGGATCGGTATGTGTGATCAACATCGAGATGGTCATTGGTCTGGTTCAAAGGGTTTCTTTTGCTGCAATGTTGAGTCCATACTTAAAATCCTTTGAGGGTAGTGACTTTGGCAGCAAACCAACTAGATTTGCCATTCCAGAGTTGAAATGTAGTCGGGTTGTCATCTCCTTTGCTGCTCGTTCCTTGGGCTCTAAGAAATCTTTACATACTGCATTTAAATAATTACTTCTTGTTAGTTAAGTTTTTCTATGACTTATTATTAACTGTTATCGCAATAGCGTTTTTTTTAGTTTGGTTATTTTTAAAGAGTCGCTCACACTAGAGCAACTCTCAGCAAAAAAAGAATGCCGGTCACAAAGTGTGGTTATAGCGCGGTGCGTTGGGGGGCCCATAGAGCATGCACAGGACGTCCCTCTGGTTGATGGGGCCAGGAGTGGGTTGTATTTTATGGTCTCTTTGTGCAGTCTCTTTATACGTTCAACGTTTTGTTACATTTTCATTACGTGCTTTTCTCTTTTTTGTTTTAGTTGTGACCTTTTCTCAAAAGTAGAAACATTTGTTTTGGGTTTGTCTTTCGACGTTTCTGTGTTTTATTCGGTCCTAATAAAACTTGAAAATGGTTTTCAAATGATTAATTTATCCAGTTTTAATCTTGGTTTTATACGGTTTGGGTACCATTGGTTTTCTTTTCTTAGTCATGCTGTTATTTTATGATTTGTGGTGTTTAGTAAGCTGCGTTGGTTATTTTGGTTTAGTATATAATTCCTTTCCAACCGGGTTAAAGAAAAGTTTGAAACTTGTTATTGCTTGTTTGAGTTGTTGTTAGTGAAAGCTTGAAACATAAAATCATTATTTAAACAATTCTTCGTGGGCGAGCTGTGCGGATTTGGATAGAATTCTTGTGCGAGTGAATGAAAATATTGAAAAAGTTAATAATGCTTTCTCATTTTATGAATTCATTGCTTAGAAATTGAATTTTACTGCTTTTGGGGAAGTTTAAAATTATAATCTTCTATCGTATTTAGTTTAACTGCTTTTTGGGGAAATAATTTATAAACGAAATTACTACATTGAGTAAGATTTTTACTACATTATTTAGTGCGAAAGAGTTTTTTTTTATAAATTAACAATTTTTTTTTTGTATTTGTGTTTTTTCTGTTTTGTAGATGATTGTAGTGTGAAGACTAAAAGAATAAATTAAACATTGATAGAAAATGGTTAGTACAATTTTGAATTTATTAGTGAAAATTAATTTAATTCATATTTACCATATTCATCTGGGAAAAAGCCATGTGGGAAGATGTCGTGAATTAAGTCTGATGTTGTTAATAACTTGGCTGGTATGCGTATGACGTTATTTGCGAGTAAATATGAATATATTCTATAATTTGGCTTTTAATGGACTGTATGTATTCGTGGGGGACAATTAGTGGGCGGCATTCTTCAGCATCAAAACATTTGGGTAGTGGGCAGATGATACACATTTTTCTTATGGGGTCCTACTTTCGAATGATGCCTTGCATTTTAGTATTTTTTTTACAATAGGTGAAATTTAGGAAGATTGGTGAGGTATATTTAGAGTTAATAAATGTGAATCTGTGTTGTGCGTTTCGTGATGGTTTGTTTATTAGTTATATAGTGGTGTTGAATAAGTTTATAATAATAGTAGTATAGTAAAACAGGCTAGAAAAATGACCACTTTCAACCCCCCTTTTTTTTCGGTGTGCCGTTGCACCGACCACTTTTAACCCGTAAAGGGGTTAAAGCGCATACTTTTTTGGGCACACATGTTTTTATGGGGGTTAAATTTGGTAACTATCCAGCCACTTTACGGAAACGGGAATGGAATTAAATTTTGGTTGGTGCTTGTTTTCCCTTCTAAAATTTGGGGGTATTGGCTTGCTTACATGTAAAATGACGTTATATACCTATTATTTGCAAGCAAACCATATGGTATATAGAAAAGCACAAGATTTTGGCAGCGTAGCTTAACTGTTGGCTGCGGTGGACGATTTCCTTCAAAAATTCATGTTTTATTGCTCAATCTCGAAGAAAGGAAAATTCGTCAAGTGCGGCGGCCGCCACCTCTATTTAGGCAAAAATGAATGATCTATGTGAACAAAATAAGAATGACTTACCCGAAAGTTGATGTTGTCGATAGGATTGATAATTATAACAATAAACAAAATAAAGAAAATATGAAAGGGGGATGTTGAGGAAGGGGACTAAAAATATATAATTTGGTAAAAAAAAACCTCTTCTTTATAAGAAGAGGTGAGAATAAATGGAGACTGCTGGGCTATCCATCAGCCTCAGCAGATTGGAAGCCCTGTACGCAATCCAACCCCCGAGGGCGACCACATCCCTGAGTTGCTCAGAGAGGAGTTCCCACTCGGGCGACCCAGGGACGAAAGTCCGGGGAAGGGGTTTCCCCTTGGCCCACTGGCGCGGTTTGATCCAATGCTCCTTCACCACTAGGACCTCAGGATCGGGCCCAGCCTTAAACCGAACATGTGTTTCCTCAACTGGGATGTTTATGAGGGTTAACCCTCCGAAAGGTATTTTCACAAACTCTAGGTATGATGGCATCTAAAACAAGCAAATTAACATTTTAAATCACATGAAATTGTTCATCAAATAAAAACTTTTGGAACATCAGGTTTTGGAAGGTGATAATTTCGCTTTCTACGTGTACGTTCATTGAAGTCAAAGTATGCCACCTTAACTGCGGAAGAATTCAAACAAATGATAAAAACAAAACAGCAAATAAAAGTCTGGGTAGATAAAAGGCACAGAGTTCAAGGGTTCATTGAAAACTTTATATGAGGAAAAGGGCATCTAAAATTGTTGTTAAACCGACAATTGATGTTGTCGAAAGGATTGATAATTATAATAATAAACAAAATAAAGAAAATAAGAAAGGGGGATGTTGAGGAAGGGGACTAAAAAATATAATTTGGTAAAAAAAAACCTCTTCTTTATAAAAAGAGGTGAGAATAAATGGAGACTGCTGGGCTGTCCATCAACCCCAGCAGATCAGAAGCCCTGTACGCAATCAAACCCCCGAGGGCGACCACGTCCCTGAGTTGCTCAGAGAGGAGTTCCCACTCGGGCGACCCAGGGACGAAAGTCCGGGGAAGGGGTTTCACCTTGGCCCACTGGCGCGGTTTGATACAAACCTCCTTCACCACTAGGACCTCAGGATCGGGCCCAGCCTTAAACCGAACATGTGTTTCCTCAACTGGGATGTTTATGAGGGTTAACCCTCCGAAAGGGATTTTCACGAACTCTAGGTATGATGGCATCTAAAACAAGCAAATTAACATTTTAAATCACATGAAATTGTTCATCAAATAAAAACTTTTGGAACAGCAGGTTTCGGAGGGTGATAATGTCGCTTTCTACGTGTACAACCACTGAATTCAAAGTATGCGACCTTAACTGCGGAAGCATTCAAACAAATGATAAAAACAAAACAGCAAATAAAAGTCTGGGTAGATAAAAGGCACAGAGTTCAAGGGTTCATTCAAAACTTTATGTGAGGAAAAGGGCATCTAAAGTTGTTGTTAAACCTAAAATTGATGTTGTCGAAAGGATTGATAATTATAATAATAAACAAAATAAAGAACATAAGAAAGGGGGATGTTGAGGAAGGGGACTAAAAAGATACAATTTGGTAAAAAAAAACCTCTTCTTTATAAGAAGAGGTGAGAATAAATGGAGACTGCTGGGCTGTCCATCAGCCCCAGCAGATCAGAAGCCCTGTACGCAATCCAACCCCCGAGGGCGACCACGTCCCTGAGTTGCTCAGAGAGGAGTTCCCACTCGGGCGACCCAGGGACGAAAGTCCGGGGAAGGGGTTTCCCCTTGGCCCACTGGCGCGGTTTGATACAAACCTCCTTCACCACCAGGACCTCAGGATCGGGCCCAGCCTTAAACCGAACATGTATTTCCTCAACTGGGATGTTTATGAGGGTTAACCCTCCGAAAGGGATTTTCACAAACTAGGTATGATGGCATCTAAAACATGCAAATTAACATTTTAAATCACATG